GGGCATAAGGTGAGAGATCTTATCTTGTCCTTGGTTGGGGAGATGGGGACTGTCCTGTTGACCGGGTAGAGGATGGTGTCACGCATAGGAAAGAGGTCATGGAGGTCTGGAGTTGACCGTTGACCCAGAATCCTTGACAGCAGCAAGCAGGCCTGACCTGGAGCACACACTGATGGCAGCAGAGCCAGGCCAGCCAATGGTATCTGACCTTCATGCCTGGGTATCATCTCCATGAGTTGGGAATGGACTGCAGGAGAGGATGTCTGGACCGCAGTTCCTCTCCAACCCCGACAGTGAGGCTGCCCCCACCTTCTACCCATGTACCAACTGTGCACAGCCTCCAAGCTTGCCCAGGCCCGACTGGGCCGCTGGCATGCCTTTGTAGAAAGCCACGCAGCCAAGGCTGCAGGACAGGACAGACTTGCCAGCACACCAGGCTAAAGAAAAGCAGGCCAAGATCCTGGGCCTGCCTGATCCTGCCTAGTGGGGCCGTGTCAGTAGGGCAGGGGGTTCCGCTACTCAGCCAAGGCCTCTTGCTCCCACAGTGTCTTAACTCATGCTCAGCAGAGTGTCCCTGCTTAAAGATGGGCGTGTCCCTGATCCCCAGGGGAACCAGAGTTCCCACTGTGCTGCACCAGTGGCCACCCATGAAGGTGTGGTGGCAATGATGCTGGAGATGACAGCAACAACTTAGAACCTTTGTGACTGCATGGCTTCTGCCCAGAATGTGAACCATCCTTCCAGACCGACAACACCCTCAAGGAGGCTCTGCTTCGAGTTTGGAGAAGGAGCTGCCGAGCCTGGGCAGCCAGCCTCCCCTCCCCCGACAAATCCACCCACCTCAGGTTTCATCCCATTTGGCAACCAGTCTTGGTGGTGATCCTGTAGTCCGGTCTAGTTTTCTCTGCTTCACCCCAGTGGCGGCTTCTCTAGGGCACGAGTCACCCCGGTCTGAGTCAGTGGGGTACTTCTAGGCCACTTAGGAGATCATTGCCCATGTGGTATGAGGACCAGGCCATGCCAGGATCACAACCAGGCGGAGTCCAAGCCCTGGGAAGCATAGCCAGCCACAGACTCTACCCAGAGCGGCAAGAATAAGCCATCTCTCTGCTCCACCCAGCCCCCTTCTCTTCACTCTCGTGGGCCTGGGAGGGCCTTGTGCCCATCTCTTTGCCATCAACACAGGCACCCACACTACTACAAGCTCCATGCCACCCATGTCCTAGACTTGTGGACAGTTGGACAGGTAGACAGGCTTCACAGCCCCCATGACTCAACTTGCGCTCTCTCATGTAACATGAGGGCCGGCTTGTTGAGGTTTCTGTTCCACCCAGCACCCCACAGCCGGCAACTCCCAAGGAAAATCACACACAGGACTCCATAAGATTATAAACTGATTGGCCCATTAGGTCAGGCTACTTATTAGCTCTTATAACTTATGTTACCCCATTATCCTTATCTATGTTAGCACATGGCTCAGTACCTTTTCCAGCGGGGCAGCTTACATCTTTCCTCTCTGGTGGTCTGGGCAGAACTGGCAGAGGAAGCTTCCTGCTTCCCAGAATTCTCCTGTTCTCATTGCATCACCTCTACTTCCTGTCTGGTTGACCCACCTATACTTCCTGCCTGGCCAATCAGCATTTTATTAAAATACATGATTGACAGAATACAGACAGTTCTCCCGCACCATTCCCCTCTTTTTTTTTTTAAACAAAGGAAAATACCCATAGTCCATTTGTTGGGAATGTGGGCGTAGTATTTCAGGCTACTTCCTGCTGGTTGGGGGTGCTGATGATCTTCTGAGGACCTAAAGAAAATTTAGAGTTATAATCAAGTCCTAACTGGAGTATCCTGTGAGTCTTGATCATCTCAGGCAGCATCTTGAATCTTTTCTGGATATAGAACTCTGACATCTGGGCCATCTGTTCCTATCGGAGATTTCTCAGGTGGTCTTCCTTTTTCGAACCTGATTTTTCTTAACTCAGAATGAATCCACAGCCTCTCATTTTCTGTGGAAACAAAAGCAAAATCTCTTCTCCAAAGTAACATACTTTTTGACTTCAGTTTTGAAGTCAAGGTATTTTCAAAATACCTATCTTGGGTTAGTTCAGCAGCATTTATAAACAAGTATCTTTTAGCAGCTGTTGCTCCTTCCTCAGCATTCAAACAATTCAAAGAGAACATAATAGCATACAGTATCAAGATTTTCTGTGTATTTTCCATCTTTATGCGGCTTTATTTTAACCTCTATTTCTTCTATTTTTACTTTTACTTTTTGAGACAGGTTCTCTGTATATCTTTGTCCTGGAATAACTCTGTAGACCAAGCTGTCCTTGAACTCACAGAGATCCCTCTGTCTCTGCCTCCCCAGTGCTCGGCTCAAAGGGGTATGCTACCACACCTTGAACTCAGAGATCTGTCTGTCTCTGCCTCCCAGGCATTGGGATTGAAGGTGTGGTAGCACACACCTTAAAGTCACAGAGGTCAATCTACCTCTGCCCCTTGAAGTCACAGAGGTCAACATACCTCTGCCTCCCAGGCATTGGGATTAAAGGTGTGTACCACCACACCCTATTTCTCCCTTTCTTTCTTTTTTATTTTTAATGACTTTAACCTTTAGCCTGAATATATTTTTAACACACTGTAAACCATTTAGAGGTTTTCTTCCTCTTTGAATCTCTCTTTACTGTATATCTCTCTTTTTCTGACCACATGAGCCTTTAAGGAGAGGATTGAAGTCATGGCTTTGTCGGCTGGATCCAGCCCATTCCTTAGCTTTCCAGCCTCGTGGCTGAGGTACTGGCTGTAGCCATTTTTATTGCCACAACTCTGTGGCGTTTCAAGGTCCCTGCCAGCAAGCAAGCTGCAGCATTCTGCTCACAGACCACACTCAGTCAGACTGCCTGCCTGAAAGAGTCAGAATTTGCCCTGGCAGGACAGCCCAGAAAGCCAGCATTTTAAAACAGCACAGCTTTTTTCCTGCTATGGCTAAAAATCGAAAAGCATGCGTTCAGCTTTTCATCAACACCGTTTAAGTGTTTCGTGGCAGGACCTTTTAAAAGAGCTGCAGGGTTTTGCAGCTAAAGCTGAGTCAGGAAGCCTCTCTTAGATGAGAGCATTTGCTTGCCTCTAGCAAGCAGAGTAGACCTGAGAAATTGCTGCTACCAACAAAACATGCTGTACTCTATTCTTTCCCAAGCTTTCTCAAGCTTTCTGTGGATTCAGTTATCCACGTGGGCGCCATCTGTAACATGAGGGTCGGCTTGTTGGGGTTTCTGTCCCACCCGGTACCCCACAACCGGCAAGTCCCAAAGAAATAACAGAGTCTACATTTGGTTATAAACTGATTGGCCCATTAGGTCAGGCTACTTATTAGCTCTTATAACTTATGTTACCCCATTATCCTTATCTATGTTAGCACATGGCTCAGTACCTTTTCCAGCGGGGTAGCTTACATCTTTCCTCTCTGGTGGTCTGGGCAGAACTGGCAGAGGAAGCTTCCTGCTTCCCAGAATTCTCCTGTTCTCATTGCATCACCTCTACTTCCTGTCTGGTTGACCCGCCTATACTTCCTGCCTGGCCAATCAGCGTTTTATTAAAATACATGATTGACAGAATACAGACAATTCTCCCGCACCACTCTCACGCTCTTGTCCCTCCTGCTCTGGCCTGCCGCACGGATGTCCTCCTGCCCACACCGCCCCGTTAGAGTCATGCCTGCCCTGCAGATTTCTCCACTTATCTGCAGCCTGTGGTCAGCCCCAGCTGACAGGTCAGTCGCCGCGAGTGGAGTCCACCCCACAGGAGTCCAGGGTGGCCACTAATTTGGGCTTTTCTTTTGGGACACTTGTGGCTCAACACATTGTAAGACACTATTGTCGCTCACGCTTGACTTTGTAATCCATCCCCAAGTGTGCCAGGGCAAACCCCATCACCTTCTCACTGACCAACCCTGGTGCCATCCTCACCTCCCAGGGCCAGCCCCCACATCCAGGCAGCCCAGAAACGTCACGGTTGTTTTCCAACCTTGGAATCCCTGACAGCCTCAGGCTTCCTCCTGCCATCTGCCTAGCCTCAGTGGGGGCTTGTCATAGAGCGGCTGCCCTGTCTTCCCTCTGCCCAGCTCCACAGCCCACCTCTGTCCTGCCACAGAACCTTCCCCAGGGCTTCCAGCCAACCCACCCACTCTACCTCCCAGCTCTCTTTCCAAAGCTCCCTTTTGTCTTTTTATCACCCTGACACACAACACTTAGACAAGACACACTTGTTGACTCGCACAGTCTCCTTTGACAAATGGAAGCTGGCTGGGTCCTTGTGGGATGTGCTGGTAGGTGACTTGGCATGAGCCCAAGGCACAGGCAGCTGAAAGATGCCACACCTGGGATTGTCCCTGCTCATCCCAGCAGAGAAGCAGAGATTTATCCAGAGAAGTGTGCCCAGGCAGCATACACGAGGCAGGGACAGAGGGCAGCAGAATGCAGACAGAGTGCCCACCTCACTCAAGAAAGCCTTGAGCGTTGGGGCTGGGTCTGTAGGTCACATCCTGTGGACTGTCATCAAGCACTACTGAGCCGGAAGCAGTCCAGGACAGCAAGGATGCCTGGGAGGCAGCAGGGTCTACGTGGGGAAGAATATGAAGGGCTAGGCCTTTTTTCCCCCAAAACAGGGTTTCTTTGGGTAGCTCTGGCTATCCTAGAACTCACTATATAGACCAGGCTGGTCTCGAACTCACAGAGATCTGCCTGCCTCTTCCAAGTACTGAGATTAAAGGCGTATGCTACCACCACCTGACTGAGATAGCCCGTCTTGCTTCCCACATCCTGTTACAGGAGCCTGAAGCCCAGAGCCACCCTCCCGGGCCATTCCCATGCTTGGTATCGAAGCTCTTCTGTAGAGAAGAGAAAGGCCCTAAAGCTAATGCCAACCCTCTCTGTGGCCTTCTGCAGGTCACTGGCCTTACCTGCCCTAGAATGAAAGTCTGTGGAGTGTACAGAGGCTGATAAAGGCAACAAACAACAGACTTTATTAACTACCACACATAGGACCAAAACAAGAAGGGGACCAATAGGCAGCAGTTGTGTGGGCCAGAGAGCAAACAGTTCGATGGCCCAGCTTCCTGGAACTCCCTGGGCAATGAACTTGAGCAGGTCACGACTTGTCAGCTGGGAGTAGACGTGGGAAGATGTCGGTCAGACAGCCAGGAGCCTAAGGTCTGCAGACCCCCTCCTTTGCAAAGTGCCTGGGTCCTCGTCCCCCAACAACCACTGTCCCCTCTGATGACTCACACATAGCAAGACCCTCAAGGACAGGGACCAGGGAGATGGGAGGCCTATGCTGAAACTCCAGGCCTGGAGGCAGATGCCTCTTCCAGCAGATTTCCTTCCCAGGGCCAGGGCAAGGAGTTATCATCCTAGGGCCTCGCCAATGTCCCCAGAGTGGCTCGGTCAGGCCACTGTCACTCTTTTAGAGTTTGTCACAGCTGAGGCCTGAGATGAACGTCTCACCCTGGAAGCTGTGGCTCTGAAGTGCAGTCAGGCATCAGAACTGTCAAGAAGGCTGGGAAGAGTGTGAATGGCTGGGCTTCCCTGGGCCTGCCAACCTGCTGGGAGCAGGCAAGCCTGGCTAGCCTGGGGTTGACAGGGCTAGGTGTTGGGAATGGCAGGCCACTCAGTGAGTCAGAAGGGGCTGAACAGAAGGGAGGGGACTCTACCCTCTACTGAGGACCTACGGGGTGCCAGCCAGAAACTCGCCACAGTGGGCAGCAGGCCTTGCTCTCCCTGCCTTCCGATTGAGGACATGGAGACTCAGAGAAGTAGGCGTCTCTAGCAAAACCAGAGCCAGGATGGAGCCCAGCGTCTCTGACTTCACAGACAACTCTTTTGACTCCTCGTGACTAGAACAAGGCTGCTGTCTTCGCCTTTGGCCAATTCAAAACCATTGCCAAATATTTAATCAGAGGAGCCAATCAGGTGCATGTAACGTGACATCAGCAGGGTCACCCATGCTCCAGAATGATCTAGCAGTCAACAAGAAAAGTCGGAAAACCGCAAGACCTATAGGGATATATAGAATGCTTATCTAGCACACATGCAACCCAGGTTCCCTCCCCAGAATTGCAAAATGAACATGGTGGTACAAGCCTGTGACCCCGGTACTTGGGAGGTGGAGACAAGAGGATTGGAAGCTCAAGGTTCTCCTTGGATCCACAGCAAGTCAAAGCCAGCCTGGGCTATGCTGGAGAAAAAAAAAAGGAGTAAGAGTCAGAGGAGCAAGTCTCATTCATTTATTTGATGAACGTTTGAATATTTGCTGGGCATGTGAGACCCTTTGCATGGATGAATCTAATCGAAGGACAGAAAATGCTTGTCTAGCCAAGCCGCTTTTTGCCTTTTGTTTTGAAAATCTGTTTGGGCTTGATGGCACAGTCCTTTGATCTCAGCTACTAGAGAAGCTGAGGCAGGAGGATTTCAAGTTCAAGGCTAGCTTGGGCAACTTAGTGAAACCCTATCTCAAAATATAAAGTTTGATAAGAGGGCTGGAGATGTGGCTCAGTGGTGGGGCCCTTGTCCAGCCTGGTGAGACAGACCCTGGGTTCTTTGCTCATATGGAACAAGCCAAAGCCACCCATCTGGGAGCCCTTGATACCAGCAGTCCAGCCAGATGCTCTCCTTCCCTCTTTGATCTGTGGGACCCGGTATCGGTGCAGTTTCGTGATCTCTTCTCATTCCTGTGGCAAATACAGCCTGCTGCCTCTGCCTCTGTGCTTGCACTTTTAAGAGCTGCAAGATCCTGGCATCTGGGCACAGCCAGTGGGGACTGCCCTGTTCCCAGTAGGTAGCTGGGGAAGTGGTGTGCAGTGTTTACACCCAGTGGTGTGACTGCGGCTCCCTGTGGATCAGTGCCCTTTCTGACTGGGACTGCCCAGAATGATGAGAACCCAGGGCGGATTTAAGCTCTCCGCTGAGTGAACTCATTGTCAGGAAAACCAAGCAGTTCCTGGGACTTCCCCTTGAGGCACTTGAGTGACCCATGACCTCGCTGTCCAGCTGGCCTAGCTCACAGAAAAATGCCTTTCTTTTAGATCCCATGACTTCCGGTGGTTGGCAAGGAGGTGGGCCACAGCGGGAGGGTTCTGGTATATTGTGACTATCATCCCAGTGACTGCTAAACTGTAGTTCTTCCCTAAACCCAGGCCTGAGGTAGGAGGACCCTGGAGCATCAGAGAATGAGCTCCGGGGTCTGATAGCGCTGCCCCCAGCTAAGCTGTGGTACCCAGGGAGTCTCAATGTACCTCTGAATCTGTCCATACCACTGCGGGGAGCATGACTGGAGCTGTCTCCCATCTCCTAGGTGGGATAGACCCCAGAGGTGAAGCCTCTTGCCTGGGGTCACGTGACTTGAACAAATGGACCCAGAATCCCGAGGCCACAGTGAAGGCTTATGCACGCCTGGGCTGGACCCTTGTACACCCACGGCTTCCAGACACTAGAGCAAATAAGCTCTCTCCTCCAGGTTGTCCCCTTACTGTTTTAAGGGAAGAGGAAGGAACCAGGCAAATAGAGGAAGCCTCAGCTGCAAGGCCCTGGAACCTCCCAGCTTCCTCCCTGTGTGCCTAGTCCCCTGGGGGCTCATCTTCTCTCCTCCTACCCACCCTAGGGGGACAGGGGCTGAGTCCCCATCTTTGGCAATCTCCCTATGGGCCCACAGTGCCGACCCCTAAGTAGGCTGGCACAGACAGGCACTGGTCACCCACACTGGGTCCCTGGTGTCGCATAGAGCTTTGCTGACAGGCCAGGCTATAGCAAAAGGCCCTCACTCCACTTCTGACTCGGGAAGCTCCTGTGGGCTTCTTTATCTGTAAACAAGTCATTGCTAAATACCTGGTCACCTCGGAACTGCAGAAGGGACTTATGAATCTGAGGATCAAGGCCACGGACATTGTGACCCTGAACAAATATTAGTGGTGTGTCCTGTGTCGGCAGGGCCTGGGCTCTTGGTGCCAGAGCCCTAGCCTAGGCAGGGGTCATGGACCCAGCTCTGTCCAGCTGAGGCTTCCTTTTGCTCAGGGCCTCAGTTTCTTCACTGGGAATTAAGTAGACTGATCCACCACTGTTAGGCTGGTGTGCAGACGGACCCACCCCGAGCCCACCAGGAGTGTGGGCGCTAGCCAGTGAGCACAGTCCTGCTCACCAGCCTGAGGAACTGGACACTTGCCTATCTGAGCCGCTTATCTCTCCTTTATTCGGATGGTTCTCGACCTTTCTAACACTGCGACCCTTTAACTCAGTTCCCCATGTTGTGGTGACCCCCCCACCCGCCACAATTGTCAAGTGATTCCATGGCTACTTCATAGCTGTAATTTTGCTACTACTATGAATCATAATGCAAATCTCTGATATGCAGAGCCCCATGGCTGTCGCGACCCACAGGTTGAGAATCACTGCTTTCTTCCCTGCCAGCCTTTTCTGAGAGCCACCCAGCTCTGCCACCAGTCACGCTGTGTGTTGTGACCTTAGGCTTGAGACAGACGTCTCTGAGTAGCAGCCTTGGGTAAGAGCTCTCTATCTCCAGCACCTGGTTCCTGGGAACAAGAAGGGTTGAAGCTGGGTAGAGAGAGAGATCTGCTGGGTGGTTCTGGGACAGGCCAGGGAGAGAGAAATAGCGATAGTCTCCAGGAGTCTTGAGAGCAGGTCCAAGCCCCTCACCCACCCCAGGCCCTTCCCCCAGCTCACACCCGTTGCCCTTGGCGACCGAAGCCCTGTGGTGGCTGCAGCAGTGTCAGGGAAACTGAGTCCCAGAGGTCACTCTGCCCAGTCCCTTGTCGTGTTCCAAGGGGCTCACACTCCTGGTTAATGGATCCTTGAACTGACCAGGTGTCAGGCTCCTGCCACCCAGCTCTGACTGAGGCCAGTGATGTCTGAAGCACCTGCAGAGGATCTCAGAGCGGTAGAGATGCTCTGAGGGAAAGGACAGGGATGAGGTGTCCTCAGAGACTCCACCTTTGTCTCCTTTACTGATTCTATGTGAGCTCGTTCCCATGGCTCTGGGGGTGGGAGCCAGGCCCCCAGTGTGCTGGACAAACGTTGTAGTGCTGAGCTCCAGCCCCAACATTCCCTGTTGGCGCTGACATATGTGATCCACAGGGCTGGGATGCACTCAGTGGTTGACATATGTTTAACACCTACAAAGCCATGGATTTGATCCGCAGCCTTGGAAAAAAAAACATGAAATCAGTATAAAAATTATGAGTGACACTTTACCCTACTGGTGGGCGGGGTTGGCGTGAGCGTGCATACGCGTGTACAGGTGTGGAGGCCGGAGGCTAGCTAGCACCAGATGTCTTTCTCCAACGCTCTCCCTCTTGTTCTTTGAGGCAGAATCTCTCCCTGAGCCTGGAGCTCGGCAATTCATCAAGCCCGACCGACCAGCAAGGGCCCTCAGGATCCGCCCATCTTTGCCACCACGGTGCTGGGATTGCAGGTACGTGACACCAAGGAGAGTTTTTACATGGATGCCATGGAATTGATCTTAGGTCCTCTGGCGTGAACAGCGAACCGTCTCCCCGAGCCTTTCCCACCCTGTGTCTATGCCCTCTTTAGGCTGTCATTGCCTTATGCACATTTTGTAGCCAGAATTGCAGCACAGAAGACAAGATCCCTCAGCAAGGTGACTCTCAGCCTCCCTGCTCCTAAGCTTTTGTGTAAGCCGACCTCTCGGGATGCACCTGTCCTGATGGCTCATTTCTTAGGAGCCTGAAGTTCGAGTTTCCCAGGAGCCAGAGTGGATCTGCTGGCCGGCCTGCTTGCTTTCCCAAGTAGGGAGGACCATTAGGGACCCAGGTACTCCCAGGAGCTCTGAGGAGCAGCCCACTCCTGTCAGCCTGCTGACTACACAGGTCCCCTCTGAACCCTCAGATAGTGCCCTTTGGTCTGCTTTCTCTGGCATCCGTATCTCTCTTCATCTCGATGGTTCTGCTGCTGATAACTGCTGGACAGGTAAACAAGGAAGGAGGAGAAAGTCCACAAAGTGCCTATCAGCCAATTCCAGTAAGGGGCCAGGGCCATAGGCGGGGCCAGCCTGGAGAAGGGCCAGTCAGTCCCGCTTTCCTGGCTTTCCGGGGCCCTAGCCCCTGGCCGCATCCAGTCTCCCCCTTGGCAACCGAGGCTCCAAACTAGGAGTCCCCGACCCTGGGTACATGCTCTCTTTGCTTTGGTTTCCATATCCAAAAGCATGGGCAAGTTGCAGCCAAGCCAAGCCCTGTGGGGCATGAAAGAAGAGACAGGGGCGGGGGGGGTGGTGGTGGCAATGCAGCCAGACCCAGTGGCACACCTGTGCCCTGCAACTGTACTCCAGCCCTCGGGATCTCTCACTGAATTCAGAGCCCCACTCTGGGTCCTGGTGTGTGGGAAGTACCCTTTGAGTCTGTAGAGGTGTGGAGGGAGGGTGCCCTCACCCCAGGTCTCGAAGCACACCTGCACTGAGCTGAGGCCTGTAGCAGACTCCCCCAAGCTTCCATTACCTGGTCCAGTGGGCCACGGCAGCTGAGCCCTGGGTAAACGAAGTCCCTGAGGGGAGTGTCTCATGAGAAGAGCTCAGCCCAGGGTGAGTTGGGGAAAGTTGCCAGACTGAGTGCAAATGAGAAATGTACACTGTGTTCCCTTGTTAAAAAAATGACCAGGAATTTTAAGGAAGACACCAGAGCATTAAACCAAGATTCTTATCATAGGGCCCTAAGCAAAAATCACAGCCCAGGATCCCCCCAGGGGAGGAGGCCAAATGGGAAGAGGAAGGCGCCTCCAAGAACTGATACCTGGGCTGTGAGCTATAGGTACCTAGCCTCTCTCCTAAACCCAGGTCAGCAGCTAGCCTTGCTTACCCACCACTGTCTCCTACTTATTCACTCAGGATGGCTTCTATCTTCACCCACCCCCTGCAGGAGGGCAGGAGGTGACCTCGGCCAGGCTGTGGTTTGACCCTGTGTACTCCTTGGGAAACAACAGACTCTCCCATTGAGACTGCTAGTGCAAAGGAGGGCTCCGAGATCTCTGTGTGTGTGTGTGTGTGTGTGTGTATGTGTGTGTGTGTGTGTGTGTGTGTAGCAGTACTGGGGACTGAATCCAGGACTTTGAGCATGCTAAGCAAGTGTTCTGTTACTGAGCCATTTCCCAACCCTGAGCCCAGATTTGGCATGCAGGGTTATGTGGAGGGACTTTTTTTTAATGGTACTAGGGCTTGAACCTAGGGCCTCATGCAATGCTAGGCACAGGTTCTACTGAACTGTTCCCCCAGGCCTATACGCAGCATTTTGAATGATAATTTTTTAATGCAGGATAAGCAGAATATCAAATTTTTAAATAAGCATGTGTGTTAGCAGCCAATAGTCTCCCACTGGAGGCTGTCGCACGAGGTGGGCCTGAGGACCCTGTCTCTCTTCACAGCTGAAGGTCTCTTTATCTGGTGTTTGTATTGCTCAATTTTTCTTTTTATTATTTTAGAAAATTGCATCAAAGTACCAGTTTCTTGATTAGCGAATGTCTGGAGTCTCTCTTAAAGTTGGATCTCAGAGCAAGAGCCTGACACCCACCTGAGTCCTGGTCCTGGACCAGAGAGGACCATGAGGGAGAGAGCTGATAATGACAGGAACAGGTAATGGCCACCAAGGACTGTGCAGTGAGCCAAACCCCGCCCAGCTTCCTTCTGTGGAGCAAATCCTGAACACCTGTGTAGAGAGTGCTACTCCAGACCTGGCATGCAGCAAGCAATGCCACCCGAGGACCCAGGTGCCATCCAGAGAGCTCAAGAGCAGTTCCGCAGATGGTGTGACCCCCCCACACACACAGGAAGGGACGTCTATGGGGACCAGGGAAATGACCCCTGACCCCACACACACACACCAG